TTTAGTTTCTTTGACAAGTGGGGATTGTCTATTTGGTTATTTCTTAATATGGGCTATCAGTAATTGTCTAGTAAAGTCAATTACTGATAGATCTATTATAGAAGTTACCCATACTTTTCCAGTAGTCATTTAGACGGTTCATCTTAATTGTCCTCATTTGGAATATAAGCCCGAGAAAAGTTTTAAATTCTGTTTGTGTTGTCTGTTTTCAAAACGCAATCCTCGATTTTTCTAAACGACTTTGTGCAAATATTTCGTCAGAGTCACTTCCACCATTCATTTAATCTACATCATCCTCGCCAGATGCTTCTAAAAATGATTGTTATTCAGCAGTGGTTAATCTACGTTTATGTTTACGTCTAGGTTTTTTAGATGTCGAACACATAATATTATTTACATCCATTTTTGACAAATACTATAACTTACTTTAACATACGTAATTAACAATGAAAACATACTACTAGAAACTATCAATTTACGTTTTCCAATACTATAAGGGCACTTGAGGCACAACACGTTTTTACTCAATAATAGTTCCTGTATAAGTAAAATTGCTTTTTAATGTGCTTCATTGAAGCACACTAGACATATTGCAGTTTTGCCATCACATTCTTCACAGTATGTTTTAACTTTTTTAATTTTTCTATCGGCCTTTCTACTAGTCACGCTTATTCTTAAAATTTTGTAACCTCTTGTACACTTCCTTCTCTTTTTATTATCTACATCGCTTTGCCTGAGATGGTATTTTTTTGGTGTAATTAGTCATCAGGGTTTCAACATTTCTTTATTTGCAAACGCCTTCGCTAATTCCAGTCTGAACTCAAGGATAGGTTGTCGCTTTTTTTCGCGTTTTCTATTATTTAGCAACTAAGTATTGACTACTGCGGTAATAAATATTAATTCCACTGCCACTTTCCGGTACCACGTTAGTATTTTGCGTATTGGGCTTTTGTAAAAAGCCATTTGATCGCTAAAATCAACTCTTTTTTCACAACGTTATAATCTAGAATAGTTTGTGGTTTTAGCACTTGTGTCTAATTTTTCTTTCCACCTGAATAAACCAAGATACAACTATTATGTTTAAATGTTGTAATAATTAAAACTGGTTCTTTGTCGACCCATTTTATCACTTGTGAAATCAATAATGGGGTGATGAAGTTTCAGTATAAGTAGTTGCGACTTTTTTAATCTAGATTTTGGTTTTGAATTTTTTGTAAAAAACATCTGCACATAAATTCGTTTCTTGAACTGTGATTTGAATCCGTCGACCCATATTCTAAAAGAAATGTGTTTTTACGTTGTCGGGAATATTATAAATTGGTTATCTTTCACAAAGCATTTGAAATATGATTTAAATTCTATTTCAGAAAAATTTTTTACTGCAACTCTTGTTCGACCTAAACTAAATTATTACACAAAACAAGTAATCTATTTTTTTTATAGAAATGTAGAAATAGAATTTTCTGTCGAAGTTTTATGTGTGGCATGAGTCACTGGTGTCTCGTATATACGGTCCTCTTATCGCATTACAAACATAATTCTCAATTAACAGTGCGGTACAAGATATATTTAGGTTGTATAATCAAGCCGTAATACTTGTCGTGAGACCATAAGACCGTATGTTATAAATAAATATATTCCTACAAGAATTATCTTAAAAAATGAGAAAAATACAATAAAAAAGTGCAATATTAAGTGTTATTTAAAAAATGGCAAGTCATTCACGGGCGGACAGTTAAAAACAAAAGTTTTCAGTGTTCTATTGCTTGATTATTATTATCTGGTTGGTATATTTTAAAAATACTAGCCAAGTATTCTAAAAATGTTGACTTTTTTCCTGGTCTGACCTTCCTCAACTAACGTTATCTTTTTTAATTGGTGAGTTGTGTTGACAAACTCCTACGTCTTTTATCGAAGATAAACATGGGAACCCGCTACTGAACAGAGAAGATCAAATAGGTAGATGGAGAGAATACGTGGAAGAGATGTTTCAAGACCGAGAGAGGACGAACATTTACATGCAGGAGGCATCGACTGGACCTTATATCACAAAGCAAGAAATTATCAAAGCGGCAAATCAGATAAAGAAAGGAAAAGCTCTCGGGGAAGATAATATCCCAATTGAAATAATAAAGATATTACTAGACGAACACATCAAAGTAATGGAAGATATATTTAACAAAATATACGAAACAGGCATAATACCAAATGATTGGCTGACATCGGTGTTTATACCACTACCAAAGAAGAAAAACTCCAAGAAATGTGAAGACCATAGGATTATTAGCCTGATGAATCATATGTTGAAACTTTTCCTACGAGTAATACACAATAGAGTATACAATAAACTAGACGAACACACTGGTCAAACTCAGTTTGGTTTTAAGAATGGGTTCGAAACAAGAGAAGCACTTTTTTCAATACGTGTGCTAGTTGAAAGATGTAGAGATGTCGATTCTGATGTATACTTGTGTTTTATATACTTTAAGAAGGCGTTTGATCTGGTGAAACATTATAAACTAATAGATATTTTAAGGTCATGTAATATCGACGATAAAGACTTAAGGATCATTTCAAACCTCTACCAAGAACAAAAGGCTAAAATCAGAATAAAAAGCGAAACATCTGGAAAAATCAATATCGAGAAGGGAGTAAGACAGGGATGTGTCCTATCACCTTTGCTGTTCAATGTTTACTCTGAGAAGATATTTCAGAAAGCTTTGGAAGGCACCTTGGATGGTATAATTATAAACGGGAAATGTATAAATAACCTGCGATATGCTGATGACTCTGTCATACTGGAAAATATTGCTGAAGCCCTGCAACGCTTAATGGACCGAGTAACGACAGCCTGTAGAGAATTTGGAATGAAATTGAATACAAAGAAGATAAAAACGACGATCATCAGCAAGCACCAAAAGAGAAGGGTGAAGGTCAATGTCGACGGAACAGATCTGGATAGAGTAACAAGAACAACGTACCTTGGAAGTTATCTTGATAAAACTTGGGACCACTCACTAGAGATAAGAATACGCCTGGAAAAGGCACGTACAATGTTTTACAAAATGCAAAAAGTTCTATCAACCGCCAGCTGGGCATCTCATTGAGAACTAGAATACTTAAGTGCTATGTTTTCTCCACCTTGCTCTATGGTGTTGAAGCCTGGACAATGACAGAAGCAACACAAAAAAGAATCCAAGCATTCGAACTCTGGTGTTACCGTAAAATTCTCAGAATATCCTACATAAGCCATACGACGAATGCGGAAGTCTTGCGGAGGATGAATAAGGAAAGAGAGCTTATGCTTATAATAAAAGAACGGAAAACACAATATTTTGGTCACATCATAAGAAGTCAAAAGTATGAACTGCTCCAACTTATAATCGAAGGCAAAGTCAATAGCAAAAGAGGACCAGGAAGAAGACGCAACTCTTGCAAAAAAAAAACTCTTGCAACTCTTTCTAAAAACCTACAGCAATGGACGAACATGACCTCCATAGAACTATTCAGAACTGCTACAAATAAGATTAAATGGGCAAATGTAATGGCCAACGTCCTTAAGGATAAGGCACCGTAAGAAGGAGATTGGTTAAGTGCTATCATTTGAGATATCATACGTCACTATTGGCCTAATAGGACCAAAGGTACATAACTAAGGCCCTTTTGACATGCAACTCCATTACCTCATTGTATCTCATTGTATTTTATTTGTTAAATCCTTTCATTTGAGGTACTGCACGTCATGATTGGACTAACAGAACCGAAGATACACAACTAAGGCCCTTTTGACATTGTGCTGTATTTCATTTTTCTATCCCATTGTATTCTTTACGTTAAATCTTATCATTAGAGGTACTATACGTCACGATTGGACTAATAGGATCAAAAATACGTGACTACGGCCCTTTTGACATGTTGCTGTATTTGATTTTTCTATTTCATTGTTTTTGATTGGTTAAATCCTATCATTTGAGATACTGTACGTCACGATTGGACTTATAGAAACGAAGATATATAACTAAGGCCTTTTTGACATGCTGCTTTTCTGTCTTATTGTATTGTATTGGTTAAATCCTATCATTTGAGGTGCTGTACATTACGACTGGACCAATTGGAGCAAAAATATGCAATATATACCCCATTATATATACCCAATATGTAACCCGTTATTTTTAATCAAACAAGATGCTAGAATGATTTATGAATGAAAAATATATATATAAATTCTTAAATTTACTATTTCGTTGTGGGTAATATTATATTCAACAGCGATGCCAAATTTCTGATGCCAAAATGATTGATAATGAAAGTGCGATATACATTTTCATGTATATAATGGCAGCGAGTAAACGGTAAAACCCTGAACTAAATATATATAATATTTTCACTGTACCATCATTTTAGACTCAAACATTTCCTGGAATAAACTTATATAACTCAGTAAGGGATAAAAAGAGAAAGCGGACATTTTAAAATACCAACACGGTATCAAATCTCTAATCATTGAGATGGTTAAAATTCTTGTAACAAGTACAGGAAAAAAGTTATTAAGGTCTTGTAAAGTAGCGTCGATATACAGATGCTGCTTTGCAAGACGATGCTAAATTGATGGTAAAAGCATAATGTATCGATGCCAAAATGATAGTAGGATGTATATATATATATATATATATATATATATATATATATATATATATATATATATATATTATATGCTGATATTTTGTCGTGAGTGTTGTAGAGACTCTTGTCTTATTGCGTTGGTTTAAACGGCGCGTAGGTATCGTAAACTTAATGTTAATACGAACAATAACAATTCCTATAAAATATTTCTACAAATTAAAGAAAACAAAAATTATAAAAGGATACTTTTGTTTAAAAATTAAAAAGTATATGCCCATATTATGATTTCCTGCTAGTAAAATTGAGTCACATAAAAAATGGGACGACTCCGTCTGGGTGTTCTAATTTTTTTAAAGTCGGTATATTTGAACCCTTACCTATTAATACTAATAATATCGTCTTCAGAGTTTGGTTGTTGGAGGAGATCGAGTTCTTGCAACAATTTGACATAAGATTTGTTTTTTTTAAACAGTGGTAGATGTTTACTTTCCATCTTCTCGTACGTAGCTTCTAAAACTCCATCAAACCAGGTTTCCGAAGGCGTCTCATTAAGATTACGAATCTTAAAGTACAATGCTTGTACAAGTGTAGGTTTTATTTGTACTCTTTGTTCAATATTTTCTCCTAAGTACTGGTCGTAGATACTTAGCGCCGTCGAACGGATATTCTCGTAAATAGGGCTAAATGATTCAGTAGAACCTTTTATTATTTTTGTTAGATGAAGATTTGAAAGTTGTTGCTCAACGGAAACTTTCCAACCTAAAATATAATTTGCTCATTAACTTTTCGTATAATTTATCCAATATAATATAAAAACTAAAAGAGAAACTTCACGAACTGACAACAATTTGACAATTAAAAACGTAGGTTATACTTCTTTTGAAAACCAACTAATGTAAAAAATATTAATTTAACTTTCATGATAAAAAACGAAAAATTTTCTAATCGATTTTTCTCAAAAACGGTGTATCCTATCGACTTAACATAAGAGTAGCTTTTAATACTAGAATACCTGAAAATCTAATAATCTAGTATCACGAATGCTTCCCTCCGGAGCTGTAATTTACCTCGTTGCTGGTTAGAGTGCCGAGTAACTGGTCTTGGTCCCTAATATTGTGAAGGGACCATGACCAGCGAAACCAAGAACAGTCCAAACAGCGTCTGGCGTCGTCGCACCGGGTGGCAGCCGGACTTCGCCTCCGGGCGCTGAAAGGCGCCGCAATCACTCCTAATTACGATGTCCCCGATAAAAAATCCGGAAGTCCAAGTGTGAGAGACCGTGCCGACGACTGAATGGTCACACGATACGTGGTCGAGAACGGAATCCCTCAGAGAACCAGGCGACACCCTGTTGAAAACTAGCCTTAGGAGGGTAAGGGGGCACTGCCCTGCCGGACTATTTTTTCGGCCCTACTCGTGGGATCTAAATGAGGAAAAACTAAAAAAGAAAAGATTAGAAAGGTAGAGGAAGAGGTTCTCTCCCGGAAGGATCGACAGAAGTTAGGGTAGTAGTGACACATACATGTACTCACATAATCGTTGAGGAGAGGGGATCTGAAAATGACCCGAGTCAGAGCGATCCGAATCTGAAAGTAGCTGGAGCGGACGGTCCACCAATTGGACAGTGGCCGATAGAAAACGAAAGAGGAAATCCCATGCGCGGAATAAGAAAGCCCCCGGATCACCCACGTGTGGAACTAGAAAAGGTAGATAGAAATATAGCCAAACTAAAGGTGGCTTTTGAGGTGTTGGACCTCACACACACACGTAACCATAGTTTAAATGGTCCTCTGAACTATGTAGAGTCATACGTCACCATGTTACTAATTCCAACAGTAACTTGAACATCTTAATTTGTAATAACATATCATCATTAGTTGGCGCTACAGCCCTTCGTGAGCCTTGGCCTGCTTCAAAACATTTTTCTGTCTTCTCCAGCCTCTCACTCCAATCTCCACCAAATCTTCTTGTACATCGTCCAGATATCTGAGTTTGGGTCGCCCCCTTCTTCTTCCGACCGGCTTGTTTGGCATAGTTATTTTAGTGGGATCACTCTCATCCATCCGCATAACGTGGCCCACCCACCTTAGGCGGTTTATTTTGATGGTCTTCACAATATCTGCATCACCAAAAAGTCTATAGACTTCAAAGTTATATCGCCTTCTCCACAGACCCTGTTCGTTTACTTCGCCATATATGGTCCTCAATACTTTTCTTTCAAAGACTCGTAGTAACTCTTCATCACGGGTCGTCATTGCCCATGTTTCCGATCCGTATGTGAGCACTGGGCGTATTATTGTTTTATAAAGTTTGCACTTTGTTGCTATTGACATACTTCTCGCTCTTAGTTGAGGGCCCAGGCCAAAATAACAGCGGTTAGTCACGCATATTCTTTTTGTTTATCTCGTTGGACGTGTTGGGACACTTCTGGGATGTTCTGATATTTTACGATCTAAGCATATTTGGAAGTTTCTTACGACTTCAGTACACTTTAATTTATCAACATTATATTTGATTATTTTTGGTTTAGTTTTATCGTTCCTGGCGTTTGATACACGTGCTCTGAGATGTCCAGCTATGAGATAGTGATCGGAGTCAATATTTGCACCTCTATAATTTCTGCAGTCTAGTATATCTGATCCATGTCTTAAATCAATCAGTACGTGGTCTATTTGATTTTGGGTCTAATGATCTGGCGATGTCCACGTCACTTTATGTATACGTTTATGTTGAAAGTATGTACTATTGATCGTCATGTTCAGAGATGCTGCGAGATTTACAAGTCTCGTCCCATTATCATTACATTCTTTGTGTATACTGTAAGGTCCTATGGTTGGTCTGTGCATCTCCTCTTCTCCTACCTTGGCATTCATGTCTCCGATAATCAACTTAGCGTCATTATTGGGACACTGTCTATATGTTTGTTCTAGTTTCTCATAGAATTCTTCTTTTTCTGTGTCTGTTTTATCCTCAGTGGGGGCATGTGCGTTTATAAGACTGTAGTTAAAGAATGTTCCACGTATTCTTAGAACACATATTCTATGATCTATAGCGTCAAAACCTATTATTAGGTTATTAACTCTTTTGCTAACTACAAAGCCTACCCCAAAGTAATAACATATAATGTTATAAAATTTTAAATTAACAATATTTAACGGGTTTTTACCCATATATTTTATTGGCTCATAGCATGTATACTTTGTTTACACTGATGATGGAATTATCATTCCGAAAACGTTCTGTAATGTAATTGTGATAGCCCGTTTGGGTATTTTATTATATACCTTTTATAAAAGATTTGAAATATTTTTTTTTAAGTAGAAAGGGATATATCCCAGTATAAAATGGCGTTGACAAAAGAACCCCGTAAGTCGGCCAAAGTGTGCAAATCGACTATCGGCAAACAGACCGATGTCACAATGATCAGATATATGTGACGAAAAATACGGGTGTGCAGGTGTCCCCCTTAGAGGATCCTTTTTAACATAGAATAAAAAGTTGTTGCCTTTATTTTATGAAATGCGTGTTCAGCCATAACTTCAACCTTCCTGGGTCCTGCAGGCATCGTTTTGATTTGGCATTTCACAAGAATGCATTGCGATCAAGCATCTGTTGCTGGAGTCTTGAAACTAATATTAAAATAATAGTTGAAAATATACAGGAAGTAATAATCCTTTAACTTGGTTGACACGAAATATTTTATGGATATACAGTTATTTTAAAAAACTTTATTACTTTTATTTAAAAAAGTAATTTTTTTAATGTTTTCAACAAAACGAATACACGCGTAAAATGTTAGGTTAGATTCGTTAAAACAGGGTATGGGCGAATTTTTCTGCAGAATATGCAACGAGCTAGTTTTGCAACTAACTCTTACATAGAACAAACTATAGTGTATTTTTATGTATGAGAGAGTAATAAAACAGTAAATTATGTATGCAAATCCCTAAACTGTTGATACGGGTGACTCAATGAAAAACAGATATTTGTCAACAAGTTTACAGAAGTATATAGGAAAACAATTTTAAATTGAGTATGACCGCCAGGTATAAAGGTTGGAGCAAAATAGAATACAATAGTTGTGAGGGTTACTAATCCCTAAATAAGGTTGCCAGTGTCGGAGTGATGGAGGTTAACAGGTACTAATGAATTTGCAAGAAATGTTTATTTTATTGGTTATATATAACCAATAAAAGTTTAATAAGTACCTACCTATCTGCAAAATAAAGTTTAATTCTTTAGATAAAATAAAACGTTTTATTTTATCTGAAATGAGTGCATTCCACGAATTAAGGGTTTCAACAATCAAACATTTAATTCTTTAATTCCAGGAATCTACGACAGTAATTGACTAGATAATTACCTTCTAAACTTATTCCACAGAAAATGTGATAGTGGGTTTTTCCATTTTGTAGGAAGGTCCAAGTGGCGTATTCAAAATTCTTAACAGTTCACTAAAAGTAGGTACTTCAGTTGCAAGGTGCAGTTTATTGTGTATACTAGTGTTATGGAAAATTTGGAAGTGCCGTGTAAACGCCGAAAAATTGGTCCTTTAACAGTTAATGAAAAAACATTAATATTGAATTGTTTTAAATCATTTACAGACAAACGTTTATGTGAAAGTGTTGATGAGACCGTTGAGTTAGTTAGCAGTACACTTGGTGTTGGGAAATCTACGATTTACACAGTTATTAAAGAAGAGAAATGTGGTAGTTTTCAAATGCCACGTAATGCTCCAGGGAAACCAAAATTTCAAATAGAATATCATTTTAAAGAAGGACTTCGACGGAAAGTGCATGAATTCTTCTTTAGACAAGAATTTCCAACATTGGATAAAGTTCTTGTCTCAGTTCGAGATGATAAGGATTACCCAGAAATGAGTCGAAGTACGTTATGGAAACTTTTAAAAGAAATAGGCTTCCGCTGGAAAAAGAATCCCAGAAAGTCTATTTTATTGGAAAGAAGCGATATTGTCATATGGAGAAGACATTTTCTAAGAACCATAAAGGAAATGAGAAACCAAAAAAGAAAAATATTTTATCTTGATGAAACATGGATCAACGAGGGTCATACACCAAATAAATTTTGGCAGGATGAAACTGTTACAAGTCAAAGGCACGCTTTTGTAAATAACTTATCTACTGGTTTAAACCCACCATCAGGAAAGGGACGCAGGCTGATAGTAGTACACATTGGCAGTTCAGACGGTGTTGTTGAAGGTGGTTTATTAACTTTTGAATCAACTCGTACCAGCGACTACCATGAAGACATGAACGCTGATGTCTTTCAAGAATGGTTCGAACAAATGATAGATCTTCTTCCTAAGAACTGTGTAATAGTAATGGATAATGCAAGTTATCACTCCAGACTTATAGAAGGACTGCCCACAACCAAGTGGTTAAAAAAAGACTTGCAGAATTAGCCATTGTGAATTAAACCCGATTGAACTGGTATGGGCACAGATAAAGAGTGAAGTTTCAAGAAAAAATACCACTTTTAAAATTCATAATGTTAAACAGTTGTTTTTGGAGGCCGTAAATAATGTAAAACCTGAAAACTGGGAAAAGGCAGTAAATCACACTATTAAAGAAGAGGAAAAAATGTGGAAGCTGGACAATATTACTGATAAAATGATCGAGCCAGTTATTATAAATCTTGGTTCTGAAAGTTCATCTTCTGAATCTGATTTGGATTTGTAACAAGTAGCTGTAAGTTTTATATTAATATTTTTATTAATCTATTTAACATACCTTAGACGGTTTTAAAAACTCTTTTTCTCTTTTGTAATTTTTAAAAATTAAAAAAAATGTGAATGTTTTAAAACCCTTTTTAGTGTAGGCCAGTCAGTTCTAATATAGTGTGTGATAAAAGAGGTCACTTTTGTTTACATACACATAACACTTTATAACACTGAAATAATTCATTTATTTTTTACAAATTTTTCAAAGTAATTTTTCAATTAATCTTGAGCACGCCCATGGAGTGGTCGGAGGTACCAGTTAAAATTATGCTAATTACACTCTCGTTCATAAAAATAAACTATAGTTTTGCTACCAACTCTTATTTTATATAGTGAAAATCAAGAGAAACGACCACGTTTCGCTACACTTTGGGATACGACTATTATAAAGAGAAGTTAACGGGTTAGAATCCACAACTATTTAAATTTTTTTATTTTTGGTAACGAGCGAGTTTTGCATCTCAGCTACTCATTTTAACTGATTACTATCATGCAATAAAATTTGCATGAAAAAGTATATAAACTTCCATACATTACCTTCAACATTTAGATAAAAAAATAGCTCTAGTTGTTTTCCTTGACTAGAAACAAAATCAATAAAATATGAAAGGGCTATATTGTTTTTCAATATTTGGTCTAGGGTCAGATCAATTTTTTTAATACTTTCCATCTGGATGTAATCTAATGATTGTCCATCTGAAACAAAACATAAACCAATAAAATCGTGAGCTCATTTGAGAAAATAATACCGTATTTATTACATAAAAAGGAGATATGCAGAACGGCATTCATTAAAAAAATGAATTACCGTAATTTTGTAGGCTATTGACTATCATTTAATAAGGAACAAATGAGTTAATATAATTTTATTATTTCAGTCTTGTATAGTCAACTGACCTTTAAAAATAATAAAATCGAAGAGCGCTACCAAATAGAGCTTAGTGTTTTTGAGATCGGGGTAAATTTGTCGACGTTTTGGATTTTTGTACGTCCTAAAAGTTTTGGTACAAAATTGATTGTCTTTAATTTTAACAAAAACAAAATAATATCAAGTAGTCGTTGGAAACAAAAGTTTGCTTACTGTCATATGAGATTTATTTATTTTAAAGGTTTGGAATATTCTAATATTCTGAAAATTATTCATTAATTCAAAGCTGAAATATTTCGAATATTCATAATACGAACATTCAGAATAAAAACATTTCACGTAGAACCATTTATACAAGAATAGCAAAGTGCGAGCAGGGAATACCATGTCCGAATCTGCTAAAAAGTACATCTGCTAAAGTGAAAGACCACGTATATTTTGTAACGATACGATCGTTAGTAATCTAATCTAATTTGCCGCCGTTGGGGTATGCAACCAACAATACGATCTCTAATAGTTTATTTTTATGACTTTCGAACGTCGATATCGATAAGATAATCGATTACCTTGTATAAGGAAAACCATGATACTATGACCATAAGATAAGATATTGCGCATGTTTTTGTGACGTCATTGGAGAGTTGCACGTTCGAAATGTCAGTTTTTTGTATATATCAATAAATAATCTTTAATAAATAGTTTGAAGATAACCTTATGTGTACGATTATTGTAATTATTAAACCTCTTAATCTATTTTCGTCTAGTAATTTCATCACAGAATGCACACAAATCCCATTTGACTTTAACAAGATTTCAAATTCTACTCTCCAATGACGGCATGCGCGAACCCGACCGATTTTGAGCTACGGGAAGATCCTATCTTGTTATTCATAATATCATGGGGAAAACGAATATTGGCCATCGGCCTCGGCCATATTCTCCTGATTCATTTTAGAACCAAACTTCAACAATGGAAGTTGATATGTTTATTACGGCAGGCAGGATCTTCGGGAAACTAGAAGACAATTTAAGTTATTTTTTTTTTTATTTTGGTTTGGGAAATGTAAGGAGTTTTGGTTCTGTTAGTTAGAAATTATTTAGTTTGGTGATATTTTTAAGAAGTCCTATCGTTTTATGGAAGAAAATCCCTAGAAAGATTCTGGTAAGTTTTTTTTCAAACACCTACATCTTCCATTTAAATTTTCCAGTTCCCCATCATTTAAATCTTCTATGCCAGTAGCTCTAAATCCACTGCATATATTTTTTGGTGTGAAAGCTTAAAGGAAGGCTTCTCCTGCTAGATTTGCAACATCATAAATGGTGATAGCCTTTCCCGAATTATTCACCATCCACCTGTCACAAGCGGCACCATAAAGTTTTTTTAACGAAGCAAACACAGCCACATCTAGCGGCTGCAGTGAGGAGGTAACGTTAAAAGGATTATTCCATTTTCCTTTGCAAAATCTAGTGCCGTTATGCTTAAGTGACTTTTATGATTGTAGATAATCATTAGTTTTGGGTGTTTCTTTTAAGGTCTTTCATGTTGAGCAAAACAAGCAAAAAGAGTTCACTTCTCATCCACCCAGATGGTGTTGCGGCACCTTTGCTTCCAGTAGGGGCTCCGTGTAGCATGTTATCATTAAAATGCACGCGTGGAAATATAAAGTAGGGTGGCACATACCTTCCAGTGGCGCCAATAATTGCCACCAAGGTAACAAGGACCCCTCTTTCGGCAGAAGTCATTTGCACCACGCTTCTTTTGCCTGTTGCTGCCAATATTTTGGTGGTTTGTGCATCATCGTTACACCTGTCTCATCTAGATTATAGACATCATTGGCATGTAAATTATATCTATTTTTAAGCTCTCAGATTTTTGAAAAATGCTTGTACATTTTCTTTATTAAAGCTGGTCGCCCTACTAAGGCTAGTTTGTTCAGGGGTTCTTAATGATAATCTGTGTCTTCCCATAAAATTAAACATCCACTCCCTTCCTGCCATTCCATCCCTAATCCAACTCTCCTTTATAGTTTTGTTGTTAGCTACAGCAAATTCATATGAATTTCGGCCAACCTTCGACCTTGTTTGGCTGGCAATCCATAATGAATGTTGCAAGCTTCTTGTAAATATTTTTTAAAAAGCAGTTCCTACAACCTTATTTTGAGCTCTATAAGGTAATTTGATCTTAGAAAAGCCAATTTCCCGTTTCCTCATTTTGTTGTGGTAGGGCAGCTCGCGAAACGTAATTTAGTTTATGAAATAAATAAACTGTTCCTGTTCCAAATTATTTTTCTCTTCTTCGGATGTTGGAATGAGATTTCCAAAAATTACAACAGACCAACTGACTTGATCTCATAGGAAACAGCATTATGGTTTCACTCAACTCATTATTCAAGTAAATAATACCTTATATTTCTCATTTCATGAAAAATATAATCTTGATAAATTTATGGTAGATTAATTATAATTAATTAATTGTAGAATAATTTTATATTTAGTTATTGGTATGTAAAGTAATTTTACCTGAATTGTCCATATTTCCCATTTTTGATAATTTACTATCTATTAATTTTTGAACATAATATAAGCTACTCAATTGCTGTTTCACAGCAAGATCACTTTCTCTTCCAGAGTCGCGAGATCTCTAAAAATTGAAGCCAAATAAAATAGAAATACTAAAATAGAAATAGAAAAACTTTTTGATGAACATAGATAATTTAACCTACCAAAGTTTGTATTTCTAGAGATATTAAATCTTTGGTACTTTTCAATTCATCACAGCTATCTGTTAATCTAAGTATACTGAGAAAAATGTCAGTGGGCAACTGATTTTCGGTTAGGCACTAAAAAATAATACAAAATATTTTAGAAAATTACCTAATAATTCACGTACAGTATATTCAAATATGTGAGCTTAATTAATTTTGACCCCCCTTAAAGTATCTTTCGGTTATTGAAGGTTGGCTATATTATAATAAAAATAAATCTTATCAGCAGTATAATATATTTTAATAAAATCGTTATTTTTCTACAATTTGCAACAGTAGACATGAGACTAATATGACTAGGCTAGTCTAGGCTAGATAGATTGTATAACTAATATAGCTAATCAAGTCCGTACACAAACAATTTATTTTGTTTAACTCACCAACACCTACAAAATTTTTCCAAGTCTCAGTACAAAATTTATTTCGATAACTCTATACAAATTTAATGAAAAGAAGAGGAGAAAGAAAGATAAGCGATAAGTTTTGCACTCGATATACAGAGTGACCTATTAGAGGGAAAGAAGAAGAGATTTAGAGATAAACAATGACTTCTTACGACCCTCTGATCATTGACGATAGCTTCTTGAACTTCCTCAGCTATCCTCTGGTCATTGTCGATCACTTCTTCACGGCAGGTAATTACACACAGGTGAGACAGGTAAGGTGACAAAGAGACATGTGAGGCAGGTAAGGTGTCAATTCTTCGACAAAGAAGAGATCTAGAGATAAGCGACCAGTTCTTACGACCTTCTGGTCATTGTCAATCACTTCTTTGGGAAAGAAGAAGAGATCTAGCGATAACCGACCACGTCTTACACCTCTCTGGTCATTGTCGATCACTTCTTCTACTTCTTACTCTGATCTAGTTCCGCGCTTACTCATCTACTTACGGTTGTATAAAAGACTATCATTATTGTTTTAACTAAAGCATTATTCAATCATCATGTATAAATAAGACAGTTACATTATCGAACTAAACGATAACATGAAGAAAAATACTATAAAAAAAGTAAAATATATCAAAAACTCATTGTCGAAAGCTTATTTATATTTATCAATTTTCAATAGCTTCCATTTTAAACACATTCTTAGTGAAATAGAGTACAGTTCGTTTAGGTACAAGTAACAAAGTACGAGTTCGGTACTGGTTCAGGAGGTTATTGGAATGGAGGCCAAGGGAAGACAAGAGAAGCGTCGATCGACCACCTACAAGATGGACTGACGATTTGAGATGACTCAATAAAGATTGGATAAGAGCGGCGCAAGATAGACGGGATTGGACACACGAGGAAGAGGCCTATGTTCGGCAGTGGACTCTTGAGGCTGGATGATGATGTATTCAATGTGGGCTCTGAATATTTTTAACATTAACAAAGTTTAATGTAAGTCATAAATTGTGAATTTTAGTGATATATTGAAATAAACTGTAAGTGTACAAACTCTTTACATAATATCCAGTTAAATTAGCGTTAAAGTCAGCAAATTGCAATTTATTTGTTATTGTTGTCAATAAACAAATCCAGTTTTATCAGCAAATAACCGCTTTTAGTAAAGACTGATATACCTGTTATAGCAGGTATACAGGGTCGGACTTCACGTCCATAAGGAAAAAAATCCATATTTATCTTAACAGAGAGACATCGGATACAGAAAGTGACACATCTCAGTTAAGCCAACATTAAAATTCGAGTCCTTACTTCAGTGGAATAATCCTAGATTAACAATACAATGAGTGGATTAAAATTTATACAGATGCATCCAAAGGTGAACTTGGCGTTGGAGTAATAGTGGTAACCCCAAATGACACTTTTCCGTTTAGACTTCCTCTAAATTCCAGAATCTTTACTGCAGAACTATTTGGTATGTTCAAAGCTATCAAGCAAGTAAATATTAAAAACATCCCTTGTTGTTTAGTCCTTTCTGACTCTCTCGGCGCAGTCAAAGCTATGCAAAATGTATACCCTAAACACCCCATTGAGAAAATTATCAGGGCCGAATTAATGAAAGCTCAAGAAAATTTCAGAAGTCCACTTCCTGTGGATACCATCTCATATAGGCATAGAAGAGAATGAAGAAGCACTTATATAAAGCACTTATTGATAGACTGTCCTAAATATGTAAATCAAAGACAGTCTTACAATTTGCCAAATTACCTGAAAGCACTCCTCAACAAAAATTTAGTTCCGAACAATTTATTAGGTTACTTAAAATGTATAAATATGTTACACAAAATTTAACTTAATTAATTGTTACAAATATTCAATTGTAATTAATTGTTACAATGATTGATTGTTACAAATGTTGAATTTAAAATTATTACAAATGTTACAGGAATGTCCCTAATAACCTTTGGGTGGATGCGACTTTGTCTCTTTAAATAAAAAAAAAGTAACAAAGTATTTTTATATATATTTGGGTATCACATGCAGCAGCTTAAATTGATTCGTAAATTAGTTCGTAAGGTTTTATTATTCAATTTTCAATTTAGTGAAATTTTGCAATGGATTGTATATTTATTCTGTGACATTGACGATTTCATGTAATTTTATTAATTGTTATTATTACTTTTTTACTTTTATAAGCTTTGTCCATAAAATTGTACAATTTTCAGTGACAATAAAGCATATTTCTCTCTTTTTCTCTTTCTTTGTCTTTCATCGGAGTTGAAACTTAGCTATTTGCTATTCCGATGAGGAATTGGCTGAACAAATATTTAATAAAACCACTCGTATTTTACCTTCGGGTCGTTTTCAAGTAAATCTTCCACTTGTCTGTGAAAATGCGCATAAAAAATCAGCTGAATCTTTTAAAATAGCTTTAAGGAGGTTTATTGATTTAGAAAATAGGCTCCGCTCAATATAAGTCTTTCATTAGTGAATATCTTCTTCTCGAACATGCCAGAATAGTCCCTCTCTCTCTCTCTCTCTTACTAATGGAAATTTAGAAAATTAATATTTTCTCCCGCATCACTGTGTGTTGAAGGAAGAATCCTTAACAACAAAACTTAGGGTTATTTTCGATGGTTCGATGAAAAGTTCTAGTAGTTATTAAATCATATTCTCGTCAAAGATCCTACCCTTCAACCGGAACTTTTTGACATTTTGCTGCGCTCTCGATTATATTCCTTTGTTTTTACAACTGAGATACAAATGATGTACAGACAGGTTAAAATCAATCCTGGTGAAACTTTTCCGTTAAACATACTTTGGCGTGACTCCCCGGAAAAAGATATTGAGTGCCTGGAACTGCAAACAGTTGGCCTCGTCCCATTTTCGCTGGAAGAAAGCTTAAGCTTATGTTCGAAGAATTAACCACAGTTCTCGTTCAAGTAGAATGTGCTCAATTCTCGGCCTCTTTGCTCCCTTTCAAATGACCCCTCTGATTTTGCTTATCTTACTCCTTGACAGTTCTTGATTGAGCAATCTCTCACATCATTCCCCGAAAAAGATGTGATCCACATTCCCGAAAATAGATTAAATTGATGGCAACATGTGTCTAAACTCCAACAAGTGTTTTGGAAAAAATGGTCTATCGACTATTTGAACAGACTTCAAAATCGCCTTAAATGGTTTCTCCTGCATAAGAATCTAGATCTCGTCTTGTTGATTGAAGACATCACTCCTCCTCTTTATTGGGTACTAGCAAGAGTTATTGAGGTTTTTCCCGGAAAGGATGGGAGAGTAAGAATTGCCTCGGTCAAAACTAAAGATGGAGTCTTCAAGCGCTCTATTACCAAATTGTGTCCTCTATCCAATGACGATTTAAATTAAGTTAATATAAGATAATTGTAGTGTATTTTCTCTTTCCCGTTCTCTTGTCATAATATGATATGTTTATTTGTGTTAAAGCCAGAGCTTCAACCGAGGCGAGTACTCTTAAAAATTCAGTGAAATGTGCCTTAGTTTCCGCTAGATTCGCGCTCCCCAAAAACGCCGGTATAATAACGAACAATATTTAAAGCAAACTCTTTAATTAGTAATAGTGGTTTTCTAAATATTCTCTAGTTATTAAATATATAGTATTAATTGATTATGCATCCCGATCAAACCAAAAACAAACATTTGGTACTGTATACGCTGGGAAAAGGAATTCAGTAAGCTTTCCCCCAACAATTGGTGGAGATCCCCCAACAATCAGACAAAGTTCCCTTAATCAATTTTTATCACTTTAGTTAAAACATCTTCGTTCTGGCCTATAGCGAATAATACTTTTTACAGTCTCTTTATATTTTTGTTTTCAGATTTTTCTAGTCAATCCTGATTGAAAGCAAGGGAGTTTTTTTTATCGAATTTGTTCAACGACATTTTTATGAACTTTTTGTTTCCTTATCAAGTAAGAAATTCTCTTGGAATTTCTCTTAAAATCTAAAATTCTCTGAAATTCTCTTAATATCTAAATTCCATAACCACCAAGTGGTAGCTCCTGTTCTTGGTTATAGCTTTTAATAGCTACAAGAAAAGAAGTGTTACAATATTATATAAGAATTTACCTACCAGCCAAATCATAACTTGGTTAATATAATCTGGATCAGCAACCAAATTGAAAAGAGGCAAAATGACGCCGTTTACAAAAATTTCTCGAAGTACATATCGTATAGGTTTGCACTGAAAATCTTCATCTGGCAGTAATATATATAAAATAATTTCGGTAAGTTCACATAGAAACTCTGAAATACGAGAATAAAAATATAATTAAAGATATAAATATAAGTACTTTTTGAAATAATGAGTAAGAGAGAGACAAAAGATATATTTTCTCTCTCTTCCTCTCTTGAGAATAAAAATGTTTCTTTTGTATATAATATATTTAGTCTTATATATATATATATATATAATATATATATATATATATATATATATAAATTGTTATGATGTGTTGTTTCTGTATGAGCTATGAGTAAATTTGAATGATATATGTAAGTATAGAGTTTTTATCGCGGTTTATAAAGAATTAGTTTGTAAGTACTTTTTTAAATTATCTTTATTATAACTATTATGAAACAAAGATATCTAACTAATATAAGCAATATCAATTTAAAACTATCTAAAATTTGAAATTCTTACAATTATTAAATTATTAACAAAATTTGGTACCTTTCTATCTTGAATACCTAAAGTTTTTCCAAAATTAAAGTTATTATCACCACTCGATATCTTCTTACTCAGCCTTGGTTATCCAACAATTTTAATATGTTTCTTCCTAATTATCTCCACTCACCATATAAATATATAAATTTAAATCCTTGTAATTTCCATATAATGTACTTTCAAATATACTGGATCTAGTGGTTGTACTATTGAATGCTTGCTTCAATGAATTAACTTCATACTGTCACTATATTACTGTAGTAATAATTAATCTCCAACTGTATTTGACTTAATTAATTCATTTAACTTAATCAATGCCTTCTTCTAGCTAATAATCTCTTCATAACCTCATAAATTCTTCTTTGTAACTGACATAATAATAATAATGAATAATCTGAGTTCTTCTAATAATCTTCTAACTTAATTCCATCATAACTAACTTAATAATGAATTATCAATAATCAATAATATTCATGACTTCCTGTAACTTAATGCCTTCTTCTAACTTTACTAACTTCACGAATCAACTGTCACTTACTTAATAATCATAATCTGTAATTGACTTAACGATCCCCTCTTGTTTCAATTACATCCTTTTATATATCTTTTCAGGGTTCCAGAATTATCTAGCAGTAAATAAGGTTCGAATCGTTCTATTTTTTCTATCTGAACATTCTGGAATAAATGGAATGGTTTTTGTCTATGTAATGGACTATGCAAAGAGTCCTATTGACGTTTCTAGAACTTTCTCTGGTCTACATGTACAATTTAACTGACATTTAGGCTCTTCAGATCAGAATTACACTATTATATGTAACTTAAACATTTATATTAAATATATTATTACTATTTTACATCCGTGATTATATTTTAAATTAAGATTTCAAATAAATAAACTCATTGGACTTCTGACAATTACAGTGTATATCTGGTTGCATATGCATATGGCTGACTTATATATATTTATAATTATTAAAAAAAAAACTTTCAACATTTATTATATGCTAGATTCTTAAAAATACCCTCATATAATTATTTTTTAATAATATTATCTAGTATATAACTTATAAATTATGTCTTTAGTTACTATTTAAATAAATTTATTAATTAACAGTGTATATCTGATTGTATATACACATGGCTGATTAAATATATTTCTATGCTAATTTATTGTATTTCTGTTCTCATTACAAAGGAATATAGTGAGTATAAAAAATTTAAGAAGCACTATAAATCAACAATATCATTAAAGAAAAAACTGGCTTATGAAATTTTTTTTCCAATTCTGAAAATATATCTCGTGATAGTTGGAAAGTTATAAATTATCACAGAAATAAATTTCAAAATAAAAAAGTCTGTCCAAGCGCGATTACATCAAACGATTTCAATAATTACTTTACTTCAGTGGCTAAACATATTAGAAGTTCTTTTAATTCTGCAAATGAAAATGTAGCCATACATTTTTTGAAAGATGTACACTCTCCTTGCAACTCTTTATTTTTATTACCTGTTAGTGATACTGAAATCAGGAATGTTTTGCATAGATTGAAAAATTCACACTGCACGGATTTTTATTTCTTAAACAAAAAAATAATTGTGGAAACAATAGATATTATTATTGACAAATTAATTATACTTTATAATAATTGTCTTACTAAGGGGATTTTCCCAGATGTTTTAAAAGTAACAAAAGTGCTACCAGTGTTCAAAAAGGGAGCTTCAGATGAAATTGGAAATTACCGTCCCATCTCAATCATTCCCATTTTCGGCAAAATTTTTGAGAGTATTCTAAATGTTCGTTTGGTAGAATATCTAGAAAAACACAAAATACTTCACTGTAACCAATATGGCTTTAGAAAAAAGTGTAGCACTACACTAGCTATACAGAAAATTGTGAGAGATATAGTTGATGGCTTGGAAGAAGGTCATTTTGTGTCTTTGACATTGTGTGACTTATCCAAAGCTTTTGACTGTGTTTCGCATGAATTACTGTTGGAAAAAATGCATAAGTACGGTATTAGGGGAAACACTCTTAATCTATTTAGATCATACCTAACAAATAGAAAACAGGCAGTTTTTCTTAATAACAGCTATTCTGAGTTTAACACTGTCGAATATGGTGTACCTCAAGGTTCGATATTAGGACCCACTTTGTTTCTTATTTATCTGAACGATTTATTTCACTACACTTTTCCTATAAAATGTGTTTGCTTCGCAGATGATACAACTCTCATAAATACTGATATTAATCAGAATAATTTAAAAATTAAAATAGATAGTGATACCCAGAAAGCAAAAAACTGGTTCTCGCATAATGGGCTAATGCTAAATGAAGAGAAAAATCAGAATTTGATTTTTAGTTCTGATTGGAAGTATATCTTAAGAAATAGTGTTAAACTATTAGGAATCTTTATAGACGATAATTTGGATTGGAGTGCTCATATAGATTACTTAAGTTCTAGACTTGCAACAAGTATATTTTTAATACGCAACTTAGTTTATATGATTCCTAAAAATACCCTTAGAATGTGCTACTTTGCACTATTTCATAGCCATTTACAGTACGGAATAACTGTTTGGGGTAATTCTTCTTACGCAGATCGAATTTTTAAATTACAAAAAAGAGTAGTGAGGATACTTGCAAGAGCAGAGTATAGGGAACACTATAAACCTTTATTTCTGGATTTAGGTATTATGCCACTACCTTCACTCTATATATATATATATATATATATATATATATATATATAATATATATATATATATATATATAATATATATATATATATATATATGAGACGCTGATTGAAATTCATGCCAACAAAGGTAAGTTTAACGTAAAACCAAAGTCCATGATCACGATACAAGATCTAGAGATGCTATTAGAGCACAACGTTTTAGGTTGACAAAGAGCGTAAAAAATTCGACTGACGTTAGTTTGTATAACTTTTTGCCAGATGAAGTAAAAACTCTTCACTTGTTATCATTTAAGCATAAAATCAAATCACACTTTTTGAAACATTGTTTCTATTCAAAAACGGAGTACTTAAGTACAGCTTTTACACAATAGTACTAGTTTGGTCAGGGCAGTTGCCTATTATATTTATATTTTATGTTTTTTTATAATTCCACAAAGTGTGTTTGTCGTTTTTTTAACTGTTAATATTAAATACATACATGTTTGTAATGTTTAAATTATCCAAAAAAATTTTATATGTTTTATAAGTATTGTCACTATTCCTTTGACTTGTCAAAAACAAAACTATTTTTGTATATTGATTAAATAAATTCTATTCTATTCTATTCAATACATATATATATATATATATATATATATATATATATATATATATATATATATATATCTGTGGTGTTTGGGAGAAACATGATAACTCCAAAATGCATGTTTTTCAGTAGAGCAATTTTAAACGTTCCAGATGGTTTCTTAAATCGAACGCAACAAAATAAAAAACTAAATATATTTCATTAAATACTTTATTAAGTGCTATAACAGATGGAACAAGCAAAATATGTTTTAACATTTATGTTTTTGATATAATGGCACATATCATATTTGTATCAAAAATATAGAGATTTAAAAAGTAGTTTAATGGAGATAACGGTCAAAGAGGAGAGAACTTAAACTATTATTGGTCAATTTCTTTGTATTGGAAAACACTGCTGTGGAAATATATGGCTTTACTTGTACCAAATAAAACTTACGCTTCGAAATTTTCATCACTGTCGCTTGTATATTGTGTGGTACTGGTTTGCGTGTGTTTTAGCGAATGGTAAAATCCATGATAGATTTGATCTATAAAGGGTAGTAAGTCGAGAATATCTTTATATTTCAAATAGTCTATGGGTAGAGGATCATTATAAGCTGGAAGTATCTGAATATTAGACATGGAAGTTAACCTGCCTCTTCTTAGCATGGACATTGAACGAAATGGTTCATTGGGATCTAATGTGTATTTGAAGCCTATATCACTATCCTTTTTGTAATGTAACCAAAATATGCTGTTCCAAACAAAAGAATTTTTATCTTTATCAACACTTCTTTTTATAAAATGCGTTGTTAGAAGTTTGGAAAATCCAAAAAAGTCAGTTTGTTTCATAAATTTTACGTCAAAACGAGGGCTCGTCATTTTAATTACTGATACCCAGTCCTGTGGAACTGAAATTGTGGCGCTTCTTTTTTCACAAATCTCTCTATGGTAGCATGGTCTGTATCACATTCTAAATGAGTATGACCAGGAACTAGGAACTTATGATCAATTTCTTTTAGAGTTTCCTTTTCTTCAAGTGCTTTTAAAAACATAATCGGTAATATATTATTTCGGTTTTGACCTGGGCACGTATCAGAATAGAGGACTAGTTTTTCTACCTCTTCTGGCAAGTCTTTAATAAACTGAAATAAGCAAGATGCGATCTCATCAGCTCCTCGTTGAGCTACACCTTCGTGCCACACATAACAATATGTCCGTTTTGTGGTGATATTGCGGATCGTTAAATTGAAAGTCCATAACTTTCTTTTATAGAAGGACACACTAGATGTCAAATTAGGTGTAGCCAAACACTTCTGCAAATCAAATGCAACTACTACAAGCTTGCCTAAGCTCCGCATACTTTCTTCTTTGTCGCCTTGTTTTGTTGTATAATGAAAGGAAGCCTTGTCCTGGTGTTGTTGGCGTTCATTTTCTAATCTTTGTTTTTCTTCTTCGGAGGCACAGCTTTTTATTTTCAGAAATAATGAATCACAGGTTTTGCAAGTGTCATTAGATGGCTTCTTAAACTTTAAATTAAGATTTTTAAATAAGTTTCGAAAAACACTTAAACTCAGGGGGGCATTAGTTGCATTAGATTTTGTGTCATTGAATTTTTCTTTATATAGCCCGTATAAGATTTGTAAATTTAATTCTTGCCCTAAATACTGCTTTGAAGTGTGACTTCTACTGTAGTGGCTTTCATATTTTGGAAATATATTAATAAAATTTCGAGCAAATGAGATATCTGCTTCTGAGCGCTTGTTACCTGACGGCTGCATACCTCTTAAATCGGACTTGAGTATGATAGAAGTAGGAGATGCTTTCTTTTTTTTAACAACGTCATCTAAGAAACCTCTGGTTTCGCCAAATATTTTCAAAAAGCAACATTTACAGATATTACCATCCATATTCTCCAACTCATAAAGAACTCTAAATTGCCTATTTTTGACTGAGTTACCACGGCGTGTCCTTTCTTTAGGTTTTACTGTTATTAAACTAGCCAAATAACGTTTCTGTGTATCCCTAGTTGTCAAGTTTCTGTAGTCTCTAAAAATTTGCTTTAGATCAACAGAGGCAGTCTTTTCATGACATTTTGCTCGACAGTTTGTGGACACAGGTATCGAAATTTTAGCTGAAATGTTCTTACCTTTAGCAGTAATGTATTCCTCACCCTTTCTTTTTTTATCAGAACGACTTTTTCTTAACTTCCGTTGCATTGGACCCTGGCCCTTTATTCTTTTTTTTACAGTTATTTGCGCCAAAGGATAGACATCATCCAACTCGTTTTGAGTGTCTTCGGAATCCGCGTTTCCATGTTCATGTTCAGAACCTGATGGTTCCCACAAATCGCTAGATCCAGAACTAAAATCATCATCAGGAGTTACTTCAGACGCTAATACATTCAGCAGATGAGTATTTTCTTCAAGATTTACTGGTGAAAATAGTGCTGGTTTTAAAACGTGCAAATTATTTTCTTTACTTTCAGAGGGGCCTGGATATGAAGCTGATTCAGCCAGTTCTACACTAGTGAAAAACGAGTCATCCAAAATGTTGCTAGTAACACCTGTGCTTACCTAAAAAAATAAAATTTATTATAAACCATACAATAAATTCAAATATAAGTATTGTTATACATTCTTATATATTCTTGTACACAAAAATTAAGCAATTATTTACCACATAAAATTAAACATTAAAATACTTACATTATTAGAAGACGACTGTTCATTTTCTAATAAACACATCTCAATTATTTTTGTAATACGAGAACTTGTATTATAAGCCATGTTTGCCAAATTACTCGATCGCATTTACTGCGTCATTCGCCTTTGAAAGATTTAGACAAACTGACTTACTGACTAAGTGTAACTTAATAGCCATAGATAAACCTTAACACTAACACAATGTGATCGATACGTTCGTGAATACGACCAAATGCTCATGATAAGTACAAAACAACGAAAAGAAAAGTTTGATATATACATGTTATTTACCACTTACATAAAAAATTTACAGAAAATGCTACGTAAATATAATATTTCTTTGAATCAAAGATGTTAAGTGGGACATAGCATAAAATTACCAAAATAATTTGCATATTATTTGATCTAGACATGATAAGTACCAATTATCAGATATGAACCAAAATGTTACTGTCTAGTTTTATTTTCGGGTACATGATATAATATTTTAACAGAACTATACCAAACAAAATTTGAATAATAGGGACTTATCGATATTATACCAAGCTGTGGCACGTTTTCTATACGTGATGGACAAACCATAGTCAGATCAAACGAAAATAAATCAAAAACAAAATGCAGTGATGCACTTAACAAAATTTTCGCTATTTTGGAGTTATCATGTTTCTCCCAAACACCACAGATATATATATATATATATATATATATATATATATATATATATATATATATATATATATATATATATATATATATATATATATATAGTTATGATATGCAAAATCCATGGAATGTGCAGAGTAATGATTGTGCAGATTGACTCCCATATAAATATGTAACGGTGAACGCGTGTATAGAAGTATAACTTCTACCGACAGTCCCACTGGACTGCCACACCGGTTTTTTTTATTTAAGATTTTTTAAAAAAGGTATATAAGTAAAACACTCAATCGGGCTATATTACAATCACAAAACGTTTTCGGAACCTATGTATATTTCCATCATCAGTGTGTCTAGGTGTACATTTTTTGAGCCACTAAAATATTTGGGTAAAAACCCGTTAAATGTCAACGGCAACGTAAGACTCTACATGAGTTTGCTTGGTCCTGAGACAAGGTGTCTACGAGGACCTGTTAATAGCAACTCTGCATATAGTACCATAGGTCGGTCAACTAAGGTGTTTATCTTTCTTTTCGTATTTTTAGATATTTGTTACAACCCTATAATTATCGGATATGTCGAGATTTGCTTGATAAATGTATTATGGACTTGTAGGTTTATGTATTTCAAATTTTTATATCTAATAAAAAAATTTGACTTGTCGGGTTTTCAATCTAGGCGACTGAATTAATATGTAATACTTATAACTACTCAAAATGATGGCTGCTAATCAGTTGTTAAAGTTGGCTAACTTTTCGGATCACGGATCGATCAAATACGTTATTCAATGTGTTTATCCCAGAGAGCGATTATTTAAACAACTGTACTTGAACAAATAGTCACTCTAGATGTATTTTGTAAATCGTAATCCAATTTTTAATATACCTAAAAATAAACCCTCAAAGAATCAACAATACTATTACATTGAAATTACAATTTTGCTGTGATGATTAGATATAGACTATGTTATATTAGTAAGGCCTAATCACACCTATCATTAATAATTTTCTAAATTCAAAAGTACCTGACAGCACTTGAAATACTAAAAGTATTAAAGTCTTATACTTTAAAATTTGTAATATGTTTAAATTGACAATATTAGTAATATGGGTAGAAAAAGTCAATCACTTTTTCATTTCCAATTAGTAAAAGTCAGAAAGTTTCTTTAATTTAAAAATTTAATATCAAAACTACTGGTACGGGTCTATCATTCATAGCAGAATTTCTATCCAGTACCGTAAAAGGTTCCGTAAACTCAGAGAAGGTACAGACTTCGGAAAGATCAGTTGAAAAAATTCTCAGGTATGAATTATCACAAACACAAAAAAAAACTACTCGAAACGCCAAAAAAGAATGATTTTATAATTTTTGTGGATTATTCCCAATAATAAATGATAATTTAAAAAACAAACAAATTTAATAATGCTAGATTACTATTGTAACGTCATTAAAAATTTACCTTTCTCAATATCTAAATTCCTGCACAACAAGTCCCTGGAAACTGTATCCTCTTCCATTTGGTGTTCTAAATTAAAAAAATGGTCTTCTAACGAGATATTCTTTTTTTCATCACTTACAGAAAATTTAGAATGTTTGATAACTTTCTCTTGATCTAAAATAATAAGAAAAACGAATTTGTTTACCTCGTTATCTTTTCTATAACTGAAGTTTTTCTCTTTTTTTTTTGCAAAAACAAAAAACATAAGAAAGGTTATTTCTGTGTATTTAACTTTGTTCATTCGTAGCTTTTAAACACTTTGGATTGTTTTACCCAATAAATTTAAAATGGTTAAAGTTCGCGGTCGTCGGCAATTCGTAATATCAAAAAATTCGCAAAATCGTAATATTTTAAAGTGTAGAATCATGGACGTATAAACATAGATGGACTCAATTATTTACATAAAATTGTGAAGTCAAAATCATTTGAATAGGTCACATTCTCAGCACCTTCAGCTGTTGTCACGTTTTGTTTTAAAATTTCTTATTCGCGAGTCGCTGAAAATGTTACTCCGTATTTTATACTCTACAGGTGTTATCAAACCAAAATAATAATTTATTGGTTAGATTAATATATTTAATTGTAATCAAAATATAAAGTGTGCACATAGTGTGCATTATCATTTAATAATAACGTATAAATTAGATATCAATCAATTATTTTATATGTAGAAGCACTGAAAACTATTTATAAATGGCAACGGTTGTTTATATCTCTCTGTCTTATGGATCTACGTCAAACTTCAAATGCTGTTCCATGTTTGTTTACTTTTTAGTAAAAGTTGTTTTTCTATATTTTGGCTGTATTTTGAGTGATATTTTTGAAAAGTAAAATAAAATAAATGAAATATTTACATCCCGATCTCTCATTTCATTTGTAAGTACATTAAATTTACATTATTTAAGATGAGGAAATGACGAAGCGTGTTTGTTTACATTTTAAAAGGCGTACCATTGGGTTTATTCATGTTCATTATTGTATTAAATAAAATATAAGTTCATGAAATTAGTAGACATTTTTAAATTGTAAGTCGACATCATCTGATTAAAAAAGATCTATTTAGTACCTTTTTAATTTAATATTTCTCATAGATGCAAATAAATTAGTGAAATGAATAAAACTCATTTATTTTTCTATGTAGGTTTCCAAATAACATTGACGATCGAACTATTTTGGTAGCAAATTTAGGAGAAAACATAAAGATTTTTTATTGTAGCATTATTTTGATACCTATTAAAAATTAACTTCAATTCAACTATATTTTATTGCATTAATTTTAAAGCAAATAAAATTGTATTTTATTTTTGTATAAAGACGTGATTTGTTAATAGTTAAATTCTCGTTTTTTTTTTTAATTCTTTGAACGTGTCTTTATACATTATTACTACTTTCAATTTTTAAAATCTGAATAATTACCCGCAAGTAATAATTCAAGCACGCTTATGCTCATTGCGGAAGCATCACATTCTATCAAAGCTTCAAAACATTGTGTGTTAAAGGTATCTTATTGCTGTGTCCATCTATGTTTATACGTCCATGTGTAGAATCTACGGTTTCTATTTGTGCAATTACTTGAGGACCACCCTGTATACCGTGTTTATAACAGAAAAATGGATAACTTCATCACTAAAATCACAGTCTTACGGTTAACATATTATGGAATAACAAGAATTAGATATACTTTTAGAGGTTTTTCATCGTGTTCTAATTTTCATTTGATTGTCAATTTTGCTCTAAACTAGTTAAATGTTGTCACTTTTTCAATATTTTAGATAACTAAACAATAATAAAAAAATTTAAAACAAAGAAACACGATAGTACCCTTTTTCAGTTCTGTAGATCTCCCACTATACCAGTTAATATCCGTTTCACTTTTATTTCTCTTATGAACAGTCTTTTTAGGAGATGTCTTATCTCTTTGTGGTGAGCTTTTCTGTTCTCTTGCTGCTTCTTGCAGTTTCATTTTTGTTCTAGCTTGTTTATAAAGCTTTAAATGTGATGCCGCATCATCCACAAACTTCTGAGTCAAATAAGGTATCCAGTCGATTTCTTTGACCCTACAAAAATTAAAACAATTTTAAACTATTTTTTAATTAGTAGCATTAGATATTATTAAATTGACCTATTTTACTATTATTAGTTTATTTAGAATTAAATATTTGGGAATGATTCTCGATCGCAAGTTAACTTGGAAACTTCACGTTGAGTTTATGTTGGATAGATGCAAGAAGAGCCTAAATTTCCTCAAATCAATTACAAAAACAGGGTGGGGTGCAGATGTGAAAACTTCTTTGCTTTTCTTCCGATCTTATATTAGATCAAATATCGATTATAGATTCATATTATATGGTTCAGCAAGTAAACATATTTTGAAAACAATAGATGTGTTTCAAAACGCAGCATTGCGAATTTGTTTGGATGCCATGAAATCGATGCCAATTAATGCTCTACATGTGGAAGCTCTATAAAATCCCTTGGGCTATAGAAGAGAATACCTCAGTCAAAAGTTTGTTATTAATATACAAAATCGTAACACTACTCTCTACTCAAATATCACAAAACTGAACGAAGAAGATTTAACTGATCTATATTGGAGACTTAAGAACTCACCTCCACTTTGTGAGGCTTTTAGAAGCCTGACAAATTTTGATTATGACTTTAAATCAGAGGATAATCTTAACATCGAACATTTTTATTCGTACTTACAACCCATTACTGTGATACAACCTAATTACCAGGTAAATTCTTCTGTAAGCTCGAATATTTTGAGGTCCTGTTTATCTAGTCTGTCAGACTCTTTAGTTATTTATACGTATGCCTCAAAGTCTATTGTTAGTACTTGGTGTGCTTTCTACATTCCATCTACTATTACAGAAAAATTTTGTCGACTAAATCCTAGTTTTTCAATCTTTAGTGCTGAAGCTGTAGCAATATATGAAGCATTAAGATACTTTGAAAACACTCAGAAAACATCTGTTACAATAGTATCTGACTCATTGTCTGTTATGTTAGCCATTGAAACTTAAATTTTCCTAGTAATAACTCAAATATATGAGGTGCTTAGAAGCAACACGCGTTAAATCCACTTTTTGTCGAAAATGAGATATTGAGCTTAACTAGTTCCCCAGAGTCCATTCTATACTTTATTTACCGTCAAAACGAATTAATTCCAATACATTTCAATCGACTAAAAGTTACTTTGGAAGCAAAACAGATAAAGTCCCCTCCGCTTAAAGACCAAAACAGGTAAAGTCCACTGCAACGATTCCAACGAACCACAAGCATGCTGTAGACCCAAGTGAGGTGGCGCTACATTTACAGAAGTAGATATCAGTCAGCAGTCAGTATTTTATTTTAGTATAGAGAGTACAGTCGATTTCTTTTTTAAATTTTATCTGACCACGTGCTGAGAGGTGTTTTGCGGTTAATATTAATAATTGTATTGAAATTTATTCCCGGAAATGGAACAATCCCCTTCAGTTGTGTCTCCATCTAAAGCGAGAAAGAGGAAAGGTAATCCTACTTCTACTAAGAGAGCAGTTGCAAAAAAATTAAGGTAAGTAATTTTTCTTTCTTTTGGCCATTTTTTTCTCTACTCATATGTGATACGACTTAGGCACTTAAAGTGTAATTAAAAAACTTGATCCTATAGTTCGTTTATTTTACACAAAAAATAACCATTTTGTACGTTATAACTAATACTTCTTGTATATTTTAACACTTTAATTTAACATTTTGGTACAAGAAAAAATCTACAATCACAGTATTTAGTACTGACTGCCTACCGTTTATTCCGTCAAAAAAAATATAGAAAATTATATACACAATTGAGTGTTAAATACAAAACATTATGCCTGTTGAACTATAGGTAATAATCTAGAATAAAATTGAAGAATGATAAATTAAAATCTGTTTTTGTTTCTAGATATTCGGCACCACATGGGCCCATTATAATGCCAGACTGCAATCACGCAAAGAAAAAGATATACAAATGTAATGAATTGACCTACGAGAATGTCACAGCATTTCGAGATGCTTTTTTGCAACTGAAAAGAAAAGTGATCAAGATAGCTTCATTATGAAACACACAGTAGTAATTCCACGCAGTAGTCGCCAAAAAAGATCAGCTGGAAACAGAAAAGAAAAAAATTTCACAGGAAGATTTTTCGTAAGGAAATTGGGTGAAGGTGAAGATGTTCAAGTATGTGAACGGGCTTTTTGACTTATTCTAGGGATTGATAACTCTAGAATACAGACTATCCTCCACAATTATGCAATCTATGGTAATGTTGCTCAGGAAAGAAGAGGTGGTGACCGCATTTCTAACAAATTCAATGAGAGACAACAAGGTGTTATAAAAATACATCAGCTCTTTATTGTCGTAGCAATACTTGTCGAAGTTACCTTTCCTCTGATTTGAGTATAGAAAAGTTAGCAAATATGTACAACGTTCAAGCCAACGAGAACTTGAAAGTGAAAAATTCGTACTTTCGCCAGATTTTTGTGCATAAGTTTAATTTGGGCTCTTTTGTTTACCTAGGGTCGATGTATGCTCGACGTGCCTGGAACTTTCAGAAAAAATAAAGCAAACAACCGATCCTCGGCAAACCGCATCTTTAAAAGCTACCCAAGCTATTCACAAAAAAAGGGCTAAAGCTTTTGTTGCATTACTAAAAGTACAAGAAAATGAAACTCTTACGCTCTCATTCGATTGCCAGAAAAATTTGCCCAGTCCCAAAATTCCAGATCAGGAGACTTACTATCGACGTCAACTTTACCTCTTCCATTTTTCTATTGTTGTTGGTAGTTCTCAGTGCAAAATGTCTCCAAATAATTGCTTAAGCTACGTATGGACAGAAGGAACTTATCCAAAAGGTTCAAATGAGGTAGCGTCATGTGTATTTCATTGTCTGCAAAACTTAGATACATCACAAATTAAGAAGATAAAACTTTTTGCAGATGGCTGCAGCGGCCAAAACAAAAATAAAACTATGATTGCTATGCTACACAGATGGTTTCTATTAGCTCCTAAGAATGTTGAAGAGATACAATTGATATTTCCAGTACGAGGCCATTCTTTTATACCACCAGACCGTTTATTCAGTCTTTGCGAAAGAGTTCAACAAAAAAGAAATTATCGAGACTCCAGATGGCTATGTTAAAATAATTGAAAAGTATGCTACAATAAGACGACTAGGTATTGAAGTAGATATTTTTGATTGGAAGCAAGAGGCAGTACATCATTTTAAACCTATTTCTCAATGGCACTTTAAATTTCAGCCTTCAAAAAAGTTCCAATTCAAGCGAGTAGCAAAATCCCAGCACATGATTCTCATCGAAGCAGAACAGTTTTATTACCACTCCATTAGTAATTTCAAATCCTTTATGAAAGGGAAAGAAAATGTTTTAAGCATTAATCCTTCAAAAATTGCTAAGGACAATACATTAGTAAACAAGAAAAAATTATCTGATGTCAAAAGGCTTCTTGAATTGCATTTTGGGTCTGATTGGCAATCTAATCCATGCTTAAGTTTTAAGTCAATTTTTTTGCTCCTTGTGAAGGACATAGTGAAGTTGGTGCAGAAGTGGAAGAAGATTTATGTGGCATAACTGAAGAAGCACTAGAATTATATGTCTAAAATGTTATTGTTTTCAATTTGCATTAAGAATGTAATAAAATCATAATACAATATATTTTTCACTCACTTCTTAACTAGTTGTTATTACTTTCAAATTAAAGCAAAATGAATAAACTCCATAAACTGAGATACAAAATGCAAAAAATTCAACTTTTGGGAGCAAAACAGATAAAATCCATTTTCAAAATAATTAAGCCGTTTAGAAATTTTTTGAGAACTCAAGATTTCTGCACAATAATTTACTCAAACATCTAAATATATTTCACATGTTTTTAAAATAAAATATCTTAATATGAAGCGACCACCGTTTTTTGCCCTTTTCTCAAAAGTGACGTCTTTGGACTTAACGTGTTTTGCTTCTAAGCACCTCATATATGTCTTTCAAATTAAAAAACTTGTTTATGACATTTATAAAAACCGAAGAGTTGTTCATTTTTTGTGGGTTAAAGGACGTATAGGTCTTAAATACAACGAACATGTTGACCTATTAGCTAAAAAGGCCATTGATACCGGAATGCAAGCTGGTCACCAAATCTGTAGACAAGACGCATTAACAATAATTAAAAATAATATCAATAGTAAATGAAAACAATCTCAAAATACAATCAAAAAAAACAATAGTAAATGGAAACAATTTCAAAATTGTTGTAAATTAATATTTACTTACCTATTTGAAATATTTATAGCCAATGTTTGAGCTGTACGTCGCACTGTAGTGTCTGTAAACTCAACATCTCTAGTAATAAGATTATACCAAGTTAAAACATAATCTCTGATAATATAACCTAAAATCTCCTGTAAGGAACTATCAATTAACTCACTACCAGTTACTCGGCTGTCTTGTTTTTGTACTTTTTTCGGACTTTCTAACTGTTTAACAATATGTTCTAGACCTCCTTTTTTTATACAACTTGAACTTAAAGGATTGCCAGCACATTTTATATAAAACTTCTCTATACTAACCCGTTGCACATGCAATAAGGAGGCCACTCTAAAAGAGAAATTAAAAGTTATACAAATGCTTCACGAATGCTGACACTATCTATATATCGGAGACTACTTTAACAGTTAAATATGATTTCCATAATTTAGGTTTTAAATAGATTAGACTATAACCAACTATAACAATGAATACTTTATCTCTTTTAAAAAATATACTCAGCACTTCCTCTAATTATTAGAAATAATTTTACTTACCCTATGATAAATAAAAGTAAACTTATTGTAATAATTAACAGCCATAATACACCAAAAGTTGTAAAACATAAAGCTACAATTAGGCCTATCCATCCAGCAGTATTTGTTTCCATTTCTGAAAAAAATATTTCCAGTTTTGCCTCTTCAAAGATCCTTTATTATCGCTTTAAATGGATTCTTTGAGTGCATAAATATTTATATCGTAAAATAATACGATGATTGAATTGTATTGTTTTCAAGAATCAATTTGTTTAGTTTAATTTGAAATGATACTGTGGAAATAATAATAATAGATAGTAACACCATAATTTTTAGGTTATTCACTACGTCAAAGTCGTCAAATGGACCATGATACTATGAATAACAAGATAGGATCTTCCCGTAGCTCAAAATCGGTCGGGTTCGCGCATGCCGTCATTGGAGACTAGAATTTGAATTCTTGTTAAAGTTAAATGAGATTTGTATGCATTCTGTGATGAAATTACTAGACGAAAATAAGTTAAGAGGTTTAATAATTACAATAATCGTACACATAAGGATATCTCCAAACTATTTACTAAAGATTATTTATTGATACATACAAAAACTGACGTGCACTGACTGATTTCGAACGTGCACGTCTCCAATGACGTCACAAAAACATGCCCAATATCTTATCTTATAGTCATAGTATCATGAAATGGACCGCAGGAGTGTGACGTCACGACTGTCACATTGTCATTATCAAGTATGCCTATGCCACAGCCAGCTTTGGTAGTAAAGGTGGCTGTGCCCATGCCCCATGCCCATAGATAAGAAGTTACGAACTGGTACGAACCGTGGGTCGGTCCATTCATGATATAAGGAAACAAGGTATGCTCACTAGGTGGACTCGTTTTTGCACATTTCTGCGCCGACCAAAATCCACCATCTTTTCAATGTGTCACATGCGTGTAGGGATGGTGAGCTGATCCCGTACCAGTTACTTTGGAACTTGTATTTTATTTATACTTGTGGAACTGATCCTTAACACCAATATATTATAATAAACGAGTACGGGTCATGGACGTATAAATAAAGATCTTTATTTATACGTCCATGGTACGGGTACTGTACTCGTAGTAAGTGTAAGTGAGCATACCTGACCTGATCCACAAAAATACTTGGATCAACCACCTCTACATGCGTGACGTCTGCTTTGTTTACTTTTGCATTTTTTAACCTTACTTTGCAATGTATTGGAATTTAAAAGTAAATCTGTTTTTGTTTTGTTTCGATTTTTTAAAAATTATTTTAGCAAGAGTCTGTTCAGATTATTTTAAATATGAATTAATGAGATTAATGTATAATATTAATTTTATTTTATTTAATTTAACTACGATATTTCGTATCAATTTTGTACATATTTGAATTGCCGCCTTCAAAATGGCGGATTTTGGTCGTAAACGCGATTGGCTGTTCAAAATAGATGCGCGTGAGCATACCATGTTTCCATGATACTATAAACTACAGATAAACCCAAGCGCACGCGATCAGTCGTGTGACGTCACTTGGCGACAAATGTCACCAGAAATGTTCTGTGTTGTATGGAGTTTTGTCAGATTTAGTCAAGGTTAGTAGATATTTAAGTATCTACTTAAATATCTACTAACCTTGAGATTTAGTTTTGTTTTATCGTTTATCTTGTACGTTGACATCGGTTTACTGGGTAAACCATCTTTCCGAAGGAGGTTTACTTAAACCATATCCAGATTTTCTAATTAAATGTAATGAACTGGACCATATTTTTAACAATTTTAACAAAGGGTCATTAAAATTAACCAAGAATTATTTAAAATCGCTAATGGATTTAGCTGTGTTCAGATGTAATGTTAGTAAAGGTGTAAATTATATTTTAAAATTAGAAAATTGAATAGATATATTAAAGAAACATCCAAAGTTAAGAAGAAAATATTAAAAATTGTAAAATAAATTGTTAAATAAACTTGTAAATTATTACAGTGTATTTTAGTTTATCAGTTGTATTAAATTTTTATTTTAATAAATCAATCCATTGTATATAAATTTCCATTTGCAAAAGGATGTTTAGTTCTTACTTTTTTACATAATTTTAGTTTACATTGCTAGGCTAACAGAGATGTATATATAACATATTTTTAAGATTTAATTGCAGATATTTTACCTAACATCCCTTAATATTCTAAATATTTAAATAAAAACCCTCTCTTTCCATATATGTTTTACCGACTGTGATGATAAAAGGTTGGTGATAAAAGTGACTTTTATCACCAATTGACGTCATGCGCGTCGTTGTACAAAATTCGATTGCGAAGTGGGTTTATCTTGGAAGTCTTAGTATCATGCCGTGTTTCCTTATATCATGGGTCCATTCAACTTTGATTTGACCCGATGATTTGACCACACCACACTCCCTCCACGTAGGAACGTCACTAGCAGCGCCACCAAACGTATGGGCGCTAAATCCAAACGTGATTTGACATTGCCTATCCCTGTTACCAATCTAGGTGTAATTTTAGAATTGTAATTGTAATTGTAATTCTATCATCGAATTTTACCTCTATACCCATAGATAAATAATATAATAGTAGAAATCTGTATCTCTGAATTTTACCTTTGGCGTTGTATACTTCAAATATAAAAAGATAAAGCTTTAGAAAAGTTAATTTTGTTTATATTGTGTTACTAATTCTACAATTTTTGATTTATATAAAACAACAATGAGTAAGTATTTGTTTCTTTGAAAATTAATTCCAATTAATTATTAGAATTTTTTTTTAGCAGTTACCCTTTTACAGATTAAGGCATGATACTATGACTATAAGATAAGATATTGCGCATGTTTTTGTGACGTCATTGGAGAGTTACACGTTCGAAGTATCAGTTTTTTGTATGTGTCAATAAATAATCTTTAATAAATAGATTAGAAATATCCTTATGTGTACGATTATTGTAATTATTAAACCTCTTAACTTATTTTCGTCTAGTAATTTCAACACAGAATGCATACAAATCCCATTTAACTTTAACAAGATTTCAAATTCTACTCTCCAATGACGGCATGCGCGAACCCGACCGATTTTAAGCTACGGGAAGATCCTATCCATGATACTATGAATAACAAGATAGAATCTTGCCGTAGCTCAAAATCGGTCGGGTTCGCGCATGCTGTCATTGGAGACTAGAATTTGAATTCTTATTAAAGTTAAATGAGATTCGTATGCATTCTGTGATGAAATTACTAGACGAAAATAAGTTAAGAGGTTTAATAATTACAATAATCGTACACATAAGGATATCTCCAAACTATTTATTAAAGATTATTTATTGATATATACAAAAACTGACTTTTCGAATGTACAAATCTCCAATGACGTCACAAAAACATGCGCAATATCTTAGCTTATAGTCATAGTATCATGATCCTATCTTGTTATTGATAGTAGTATGGATTA